CAGGATGAGTGAAGTTTGTTGCTTTTTATATTTCATTGTGTAGTATGTTGTGTTTTTTTTTTTTTTTTCTTTTTCTTCTGTTCCTATTAGTCTTCTTGGCATTGCCTTGAGAAAGTTTATATTTATCATTTGAGTCTGATTCTCATATCTATTCTCTCCTGTGTTTCTTTTTTTTTCTCTGTATTTTCTCTTTTCACTTGCCCCCTGTTTTCTTTTCTTCCTGTGTTCTTCTTCTTTGTATTACTGGCCTGCAGGGAGTTTGTAGGGATGAGTGTGCGTCATCTTGGCGGGGCCCTGCGGTGGGTGGTGGTGGAGTCCCTCGAGGAGCGCGTGGAGGCGATGCGGGGGCGGATCGAGCGGCTGGGACTGACCGGGGAGGCCCGGGCGGGGGCGACGGGGCCCCTCAAGAGTAGAGCCGGCGGCAGCGGCGAAGGGGGTGAAAAGGGGGAGGGCCTCCTGCGGGGGATTGAGCGACTGCGGCGGCGACTTCATGCGGAGCGGGTGCGGTGTGTGCGGGCGGGGGATGCGGATCGGGTGCGTCTCCTCGACCGCGAGCTGCAGGAGGCCGCGGAGCTGAAGGCCTGCGCCGCGCAGTACTTGAATATGTCCGCCGAGGAGGTGGGGGAGGCAAATAGCGAACCCAACACCCTCTCCTCGGAGTGCACCTCCGAAGGTTCCCTTTCCTCCTCATCATCATCTTTTTCAATTTGTTCCTCCAACTCTGGTGATTTTTCGCATTCTATACTTTTCTCGTCATATCCAGGTGCTGGGAAAAAGGGTGGAACCGCAGATTCAAAGAGGAATCACACAAAAACTATGTATAGTTCTCCTAATCAAGATAATGAGGAGGTAATTCGTCCGGATATTTCTAAAAGAGATGTTCACACTCAACCTTCAAAGAAAGGTCTGGGAGGATGGATGGCAGATGTGACAAATACCACTTCTGGTACCACTGATCAAACTCGTTATTCTTCTTCAGTGCCTAGACGTCCACATCCGCAGTCAGATCTTTTTCGTATTTATGGAGTTTCTGTACCACTTGAACGACCTCAGGTAAACCGACCAGGATCTGCTCAGGTATATCGAAGAAAATATAGTACCGGTAGTACTGCCTGCAATTCTAGTAATAGTAATCTGAAGAATACTGATACGAGACCAATGGAATGGGCTAATTCAACCACAGATAGTATTAAAGTAGTGGATGCGTCAGGCGCAGGAGTTTCTGTTGTGATGCGACGCATGGTGCGACCTATTTCACAGCAACAAAAACAGGGTGGAGATGTTGCATCTGCTACTGCTGCTGTGAATAAGCTAGACTTGACACGACGACCTGTATTAACAGTTAGACGGGATTTAAAAACTAGACTTAAACCACAAAATGCGATGCCTGGAATCCGCGAAGCAAATGAAGCTGCAGCTGTAGCAGTTGATGCGGCGATGGCTGCTGTAGGTGCGTCAACAACATCCGCACCGCAGACACCACGTGCCCCACAGACGCCACGTTTATCAGTTAAGCAAAATACTCTTAATAGACTCGGTAGTAACAATCACCTTTCGCGTCAGGGGAGTGTAGAGGGGAGCAACTTGGGGACAAAACGCCGTGGACAGAGTTTTCACTCTTATCGCACTCTTGATACTAATGCCGCCTTTGTACAATTACGCCGTGAGGAAGGAAATAAATATGTACAAAATAAACAATATGAAGAAGCGGTAAAAGCGTATAGTGAAGCAATTGAACGTGATCCTAACAGTGATATTCTTCTTTGTAATCGAGCTGTAGCATATTTATTCTTAAATCAACATGCACTAGCCCTTATGGACTGTGAAACTGTACTACGACGTTCTCCTTCTAATCTTAAAGCGCATTGGCGAGCAGCTAGAGCACTCCTCTATGGAAATAAAGTTCAAGATGCAAAGCGACACTACCGTATTGCACTTCAACTTTGTATAGACCCAGTAGATGAGCGCAGTATAGCGGATGAGGTAAAGGCAACACGAGCTTTTGAGATGTATTATACTCATATGAAAGAATGTCGCTGGACAGAAAGTGTATCATGTGCAGATCAACTGCTACGTGTATTTGGTTCTACTGGTATGTGTAGTTTACCATGGCACTGTCGTAAGTTAGAAGCCATGCTTCATATAGATTCATGGCGTACATTAGATTACATAAACCGACGTCGGGCATCACATCCCACAAATTCAGAACTTATGTTTCTTCATGCGAAGTGTCTATTTTTTTGTGCACATGATCCAAAATCAACACAAGAAGCACTTGAATTGATTCGTGCGGCTCGAAGTCAAAAAGGGAATGAGGGTAATACAGAAGACAGTCGTTATACTCATCTAGAGCGCACTATAAGTTCTTTTGAACGTCACCGCGATCGTGGGAATAGTGCATATGAGAATGGGGATTGGAGTGAAGCTTACATTGCATACACACGCTGTCTCTCACTTGATCCTCTTAATAAATCTCTTATTGCTGTAACATACTGCAACCGTGCTGCAGCTTGCATGCAAGGTGGACGCTGGGATGATGCATTGAGTGATATACATCGTTCAATACAGGTAAATGGCTCTAGCGCTAAAGCATACGCGCGACGAGCACGTATTTATCTTCACTTTCTCTATAATAGAGCTAGAGCAGGTATTGATTATCTTGAGCTTGCAATAAATGACCTCACCAAAGCTGTGGAGCTTGCCCCAACTGAAGAGAATAAAAAACAGCTTGCTGAGGTGATTAATATGCGACGTAAGGAAGAATTTTATAATGCTTCACGTACTGGTAGTAATAAAAACGATGATTCAGAAAAGCGCAACAACGAACAACAAGGCTCTCGTGCAGGAAACTCTTACCGAAACTCTGGTTCTTTTGATTCACAACGTAAATCCCCTAATGGTCGGAGTAACAGCAGCAGTGGCAATAACAACAACAGTAATAGTAACAGTAACAGTAATGGCAAAGCACAACTGCACTCCAAGATGCAGTGCGCACGGGTGTTGGGTTTAGACAACGCAGTCGGTCTGGATGCGAAGTTGCTCGCACGGGCATATCACGAGGCGGCATTGCGGTGGCACCCGGACAAGTGGGTTGGCGCAGGTCTGCAGGAACATCAGGTGGCGGAACAGAAGTTTAAGGAAATTAATATGGCCTACCAATCGTTAAAGGAGATGTTAGTGCGCTGCTAACAGATGGGCAAACAGAAGGTATGAAAAAACGAAGAAAAAAAAAAATAAAAAGAACACAGTGGTGATTACTCTCACTGTGGTTTCATCTTGCACTCCTCTCCCATTCACGAAAAAAAAAAATAATATTATGGTTGTCTTCTCTATCTTTTTCTTTTTTTTTTCTTTTCTTTCCTTTTTTTTTGTTTTTTACTTTTTTTTTGTTTTCGTTTTTTTTTTTTTTTGTTTCATTACTTCTTTCGTTTTCATTCTTTTTGAGTCAGTGATATTTGCAGAAGTTGTTATGGCGATGCAAAAATAAAGCGAACTGACATTATTTCAATGATAACATCATGTCACTATGAGGAGCGATAAGATGGTAAATGGGCAAAAGTGCATGATAGCGTGAAGGAAAAAAAATATATAGTAGGGTAAAAAAACAAAAAAAAAAAAAACGTTCGTGAATAAATATGTTTCATCTGTGAATGGGATGGTGGTGTGATGACTCATCGTTCTTTTAATCTTTTTTTTTATTCTCTTGACAGTTATAAAGAAAAAAAAAAAAGTATTAGATGTTTGTATAGATACTTTACGGTCTCTACTGTGCCGATGACTGTGTGTGTGTATGTATGTGTGTATTTGTTCGTGCGCACGAAAAGTGGCGGTACATAAGGAAATAAGAAGAAAGGATAAGAGGAAAAGAAAGTTCCCTATGTTGTCTCTGATGTTGGTGTTGTGTGGTTCTTACAATTACTGTTTTTTTCTTCTGTTTTTTTTTTTTTTTTTCGTTTGTTTGTTTTGTTTTTGTTCTCATTTTTCTTGACAGTATAAGTACAAAGACACATATAAACCGATATATATATATATATATATATATATATATATTGGTTATTCTTTTTTACGAAACCAAAAAAGAAAAAGAAAGAAGAAATTCACTGGCTACAGGTGCGTGCAGTGTTATTTTTGGGGCCAGGAAGAACAAACCGACACGTCTAGCGGGGAGACAACACCCCCACCTTTTTTTTTTTTAGTTTCCTCTGTATATATATTTATATATAGCACAAATTAGCAATAAGAGATCTGCGCACGGTTTCGGGAGATCACCTGATTCCTCAATGGGGGGAAAGGTTGCGAAGCCGAAGTTCCAACCACTACAATCAGTGACGTCGAGGAGTAATAGTTACTATAAACAAAAGGAACAACAAAAGACCGAGCAGAATGTCGGTTCCGATAGCAGAAACACAATTTCTAATGGCGATGTGGCTCCCACCGGTTCTTCTTCTCCTTCCCTAAAAAATGATGATCCGCGAGCACCTAAAAGGAAATCTTTTGGCACTACATCATCTCCTCATTCTCATAGTGGTTTGCAAAAAGAAGAAAGATGGGCAACCGTCACACCGGCTGCTGCTGCTGCCATGCGTGAAACACAAATTAAGATAGATTCAAATGTAGAATTAATTTCGACTATTTGCACTGATGGAAACGAGGTAAAGTTGGATACAACAAATACTAGTGGAAGTCCCAAGACAAGCTCTAGGCGTGTAGCTTTTCTTCCAGATAAATATGAAGAACCGGGGAAAGGTAATAAAAAATGTTCGCGAAAAGTTAGTTACAGATCTAGTGAAGGAGATATTGTGATTGTTAAGAGAGTTCCACAGGCCCTTTGCTCAGCATTTACTGTTGCTGCAACTATTGATGAAAATGATCGTCATAGTCCTGGATTTGGTGATATTTTTGACGATGATATTGAATATATACTTGATGATGATGATGATAGTATTGAACAAATTAAAGCTGATAGTAAAGATAGTGATGATGAAGCTAATGACAGTATTTGCAAGCATTTTAGTTATAATGACTCTAAAATGGCCACTGGGCGTCAAAGTGTAGCTACTTCTGGTGTTGCTCTTGGTGATAGAAGTGTAGGTGGGACTAGGACTAGATCTGGGACTGTTGACGGTGGTGGTGGTGGTCGTCGTCGTCGTAGTGGTTCTGTTGAAGCTTCCAATACTCTCAAGAATAGCAATTCTAAGAGCAGAAATGGAAAGACTTCTCCAGGTCGTTATATTACTTCTGCAAAGTTAAATCAGTCAAGACTAATAGGGACAATGTCTTCACACAAATGGATTTATCAGTGGCTTAAAGAGGTAGTGCTTCCAGAGGGACCAGACATTGTACGAGTGGTGTGAGGTTTTTGTTGGATTTGCAATTGTTTTTTTTTATCACTTTGTCTTTTTATTGTATTATTACAAATTATAAAATTTTTGCCTTTGTTTCTTCTGCCCAAGTCTTTGTCATTTGAAGTTTGTGCTTGTGTTCAATTGACTAGTCTGTTTGCATACTATACTGGTATGTGTGATTCTTTTCATTTTTGTACATCAAGTGCTACTTTCTACCGGTTGGTTTGCGTTTTGTGTCAACCATATTTTGGTGGTGATAAAAAAAAAAAAAAAAAAACAGCAGATTTGCTCAAGAATGTTAGTCTATAACCTTACATATATGTGGAGATTATAAAGGCTTTTTTTTTCTCTCTGATTGTATATGTCTTTGTGTGAGTGTTTTTTTTTTTCTCCCTTTTTCATATATTTGGCATATGGTCTTTTGCTCTATGTATATTATTATTATCATTATTATTATTATTATTATTATTATTATTATTATTATTATTATTATTATTATTATTATTCTGGTTGGGCTCTGCAGCGTGGGAGATATATCGTGCATATTTACTCTTGACAAGAGGGGAAAAAAAAAGGACCCAACTTCCTTGTGTGCTTGTTATCCATAGAGGGTTTATTATTATTATTGTTCCTTCCGCTGCTGTTGTTTCCTTTTCTCTGTTTTCCACAGCTTGAACTGGCTCAGTTGCAAATATGTAGAAGGTCACGGTTCTCTCTTAATGTATGGAGTAAGTGCCTTCTATCATTTCTTTTACTCCTATATTGGCTTCCTCTTTGGAGTTCTAGAGTGTTTCGCTCTTTATACGTCTAATTACACTTCTCATTTCACATCCTTTTTTATTTATTTATGGTAATTGTAAGAGAGGAGTGTGAATGGGAACGAATCCATATATTGTAACGTGTACAGACTTCTGTTTTTGATGATGATGATGTTGATGCATTTATGCCTGTGGAGTTGGAATCAAGGTAAACTCATTTGTTTTCTTTATAGTAAATGGATTTCTTCTTTTTTTTTTTATGATTTTCCCATTCTATACAATAGAACCTCACACTTTTTTTTTGTAACATTTTTCACTGAAATGCTTCCCCCTCATCTAATCTCCTCCTACCATTCGAAAGAAAAGCAAGAGGAAATATCGAATTGATGGGGAATGAAAAATGTAAAAGACCGACTCTGTGCATTTTTAGGGGATTCCCTGCCAATGTACGGTTTAGTCATGAACCTTTAGGAGTGAGATAAACGTAATTTTGGAATAAATGTGTATTGAATTTGTTGCTAGTTTGTTTTTGGTTTTTGATGTTGCTTGTGATTTTCTGGCGTGTAGACTTCTCTACTATTTGCGTATTACATGTAATTGAACTATATTGCCTGATTCGTGAGAATAGATGTCCACATGCATCTTTTTGTGAGTCTACACAGGCAACTGGAATTTGTCGACTTGAAGGCGGAAGAAACCGTATATGTCTTTGTACATAATGTTTTTTTTTTTTTTTCTTCTTTCTTTCTTCTTTTCTTTCTTTATTTCTTACTTCCATACTTCATGGTATGTGTAATGGACAACTGTATACGTGATGACAGTAATATCTGTTCTTTTTTTTGGGTTTTTTTTTTTTTATTGTGGAATTGTTTTCTTTTCTTTTTTGGTTTTTTTTTTTTTTCTTTTGAAATTGCGAAATTCTGCGTTAACAAACAAACAAACAAAAAGGAAAAGTAAAAGAAGGTGTGGTTGTGAGGAACACTTCCAAAACATTGGGCTTGAGTATTTAGTAGAATTCTGTTGCGGTTTATACACCCAAACCCGTCTCCAACTGTGTAACGAGAGAAGAAGAGATCATGTCAGAGTTTAAGCATGGCTTCAGTAGTTTCATAGATCACTATATACTCTTGCTGGCAGCACGCTTTAACGCCCCGTTGGATGCTGTAACTCTCTGCAGCAACAATACCAACAACAACAACAATAATAATAACAATAACAATACCAACGACGAGAGTAACTATAATAACAATCCGATGGAGTTGTGGGAGAATGTGGCTCGATGTGTACAAGACGTCCTCGCCCACCCGCAGACACCGGCGGAGCGGCGGGAACTCGCCCACATCGACGTCAGTCTTTTCACCGCCGAGGTCTGCCGCGACCGCGCACTTTACTTCCGCTGGCGCCTGCAGCAACAAACACCCGAGGCACCAACCGCCCCGCAGCTGACAAAAACAGACGGAAAGATTAAAAAGAACCATGGAGTGAGACCATCCGGCTTTGATATCACGAGGGACTCTATAAAGGATGAAGTAGAGGCAATTTATGCTGCTGTACGTGCGAGTCTCCCCAGCACACTTGGGATACAAAAGAGGGGCTCATCAACTACAGAAGAAGGTAAAGTAGCACATATGAACTACAATGGTAATAGCAATGCCATAATGGATGGATATGAGGAAGAAAGCGATGTTGATGACAGTGAAGTGGAAGTTGTAGAATTTGCAATGCGTACTGAACAGGAAGAATCACGAGATCGTGTGATTGCGGAGGCTCGCGATGCTCTTCTTACAAAGATACAGAAACTACAGGCAGAGTTTTATTCAGAACACAGACGGTGGGTGGATGTTCCCTATGATATGGACATTACACCTGCTGCTATTGCGGCTGCTACTACTACATCTTCTTCTTCTGTAGTTGATGGAGTTGGTAAAGCGTGTAATATGGATTACCACATAGAAGCAACTCTGCAAGAAAATACAACAGACGAAGAATTTCCACACATGTTGTCTAAATCGGCTATGCGTGAGGCGCTAGATACCGCAACACCAACGAAGGCTTCATCATTAAAGAATGCAACAACACCAACATCCAAAGTAGCAGAAGCAGCTATTTCATCACCAATGGATTTCATTGAGGTGTTAAAGCGAAGTGTTCATGTCAAACGTCCGCCACGTCCTTCACAAATGCGAGAGGAAGACTACAAGGTAGAGTATGGCGATATTCTGCTTTCACAGCCAAACGGTAATGACTTTGATGCCGCGGCTGAACTTGCTGTTTACAGGAAAGCTGCTGAGATCAGTGGTCTTCATCCGCCTGCAGCAGAGGTGGATAAACCACAGCGACAAGAACAAGGACTTGGGTTACGTTCAGTAAATGCTGTTGCCGCAATGGAGTCAGTACCTCAAAGATCACGGGGAAATAGATGGCGTGTAGTAGAATACGATAATGACAGTGACCAAGAGAGCGATGTCATGGATTGAAAAGGTGGTTAACGAAGGGGGAAAAAAAAAAAAAGGGAAGAAGAAAACATAACAAAAGAAAAAAAAAGAAATGAGTGTGATGATGATTTGTTGTTGTTGTTCTTGTTGTTGCTGTTGTTATTGTTTTTTTTTTTTTTTTTTTTTTTTTTTTTTTAGTCTGCGAAAGGGATGGAAAAAAAAAGACGAGCTGCAACATATATTCTATAGGATCAGTTCATCATGTACATATGGTATTATTTGTTTTTTTTCTTATATATACAATAACAAAAGAAATAAAGACAAACTGCCCATTAGGTGGAAAATGAACGAAGAATTATGAGGTAAAAAAAGAGGGTTATTTTTCTTTTCTTTCCTGTGTATTGAACGTGCATTTTTCTTTTTTACCCACTCTTCACTGGCAGAAAAGTAATCATGTGATTTGGAATAAGAGTAGATTACGGATACGAAAGAAAAAAAAAAACAGGAATACGAATGATTGCATGCATATGCATTTTTTTTTTTTTTTTTGAGTGTAAGAGCTATTTATATTCTGTTATCCTTCGGTTGCATTTTCTTTCTCTTTGTGTTCCCATTATTTGCGTGATAGATTTTCAAATCCATATGAGCTCTGGGGCTTTTTTTTTTTTTCTTTCTTGTTTTCTTTCTTCATTATTTGTCCTTTCCCTTTTCATTTTTTTCTTCTTTATAGGTTCTGTGTACGTTGTTTGTATTTTGTTATGGTTATCTTTTTTTTTATTTTAAATTTCGTCTCATTTGGTTGCCTTTTTGTTGTGCCGGTCTATTCACGGATGGAACCTGTGGGTAGTTTTACGAAAAGAAAAAAAAAAACACAAACAAAAAGGAGCTACACGAAACCCATTTGGAGTTTGTGAGCGGTGACCCTAAATTCTAGCATGCTTCTTTATTTTCTTTTTTCTTTTTTTATTTATTTATTTCCCCTCTCTCTTCTTTCTTTTCCACCTCTGTATTATATACATTCTTTTCTCTTCCTTTTTTTCTTCCCCTCCTCCCTGCAGGTCTCTCGCCCACTCCTCTTTTCTCCTCCCTCCTCTTCCCTCATCATCCGGCCGATGAACGCCGCCGTCCGCTGCTCCCGCCCGCCTCCCCCCGCCGACGACGCCCCCCGCCGGGCGCTGCAGGCCGCCATGGTAGTCTGCCTGGTGTTGCTCGCCGCCGAGGCCATCGCCGCCGCCGTCGCCCACTCCCTCGCCCTCGCCGCTGACGCCGCACACATTGCCAGCGATGTACTCGCCATCGCCATCGCCCTACTCGCAACGCATGCCTCCGCGTGGCCGCCAACCACCACCGGCACCTACGGATGGCGTCGCGCAGAGGTTGTCGGCGCACTTTTATCCGTCGTCACAACATGGGGACTCGTCGTGTGGATTCTTATCAGCGCTCTGGAGCGAGGCGCGGAAGTTATCCAGTGTGCAACAGACCCGGGGAGACGTGATTGTGAACCTATCAATGCAAAAATTATGGCGATCATCGGTATCTTTGGTATGTCTATGAACGTGATTTTGGCCCTGGTGCTTCATGGCGGGGCACATGGTCACAGTCACGGTACACTTGCCACAAACACCATGCACCACGCACATAATCATAGCCACAGCCAGAGCCACAGCCATAATGAAGATCATAACCATAGTCATAATCATAATCATGATCATGATCATAACCATAGTCACGGTCATCATCATGATACTCATAGGCATGCATATGGCGGTGAAGGAAGTGATGGCTTGGTCGATGTGGTTATTGAGCCAGATACAGCGGGTTTTTTGGTGGGATATTCAGACATGGAGAGGGATGAGGATATGGAGACTGTGCATTCACTGATGCCAGAGACCCATTCCCATAGTTATGAGTCTGATAATATGAATATACGGGCAACCATGCTACATGTTTTTGGTGATTGTCTACAATCTTTAGCAGTTATTCTAGCCGCATGTGTTATGTGGATTGGAAATGTCTGGACTAAGGGTTACTACATTAGTGCACATAGCTACTACAATCTTGCTGATCCTATATTGTCTTTCGTATTTGGTATTATTACTATATTTACAACAACTAGCTTATTCAAAGAAGTTGTCTCAATTTTGCTGGAAGAAGTACCGGCGTCCATTGACTATACAAATTTTTATAATGAGTTGATGCGGGTACCAAAAGTCTGCGACATTGAGGATCTGCATATTTGGTCTATAGGGCCAAATTTTAATATTCTCTCTGCCCACCTCTGTGTTAAGGATTGCTCAAGCATGAAAGAAGTTAATTATATTGTTAACAAAGCCACATCAAGGTGCAAAGAATTAGGGATTACGCATACAACTATTCAGTTAAATCACAAAACTACGGTATCAGTAAATGAAGTATCCTGACTATGTTTTTTTTTTTTTTTCCGTTGTTGCTGTTGTTGTTGTTGTAGTTTCTTTTGTACTTGTTTTTATTGCTGCATATATGGGACTAGAATGACATTGGGGTGTCTCTTTTCACTCTTGGCTGTCGTTTTTTTTTTTCCACGACTTTTTTTTTGTGTCTCCATTTGGGAGTGAATTGTTTTCTTCCTCGATGGGTCAAATGCTTCTTTCTTTCTTTCTTTGTTTTAATTATTCTTGCGTTTGCTGTATGTTTTCTGTGCTTTTCTTTGGGTGATGTATTCCACTACGTATGGATTATTCTTCAAGTGTTTTGGCGACTGTCTTCATCACTCCGTGAGGTACGGGAGTCGAAATATTTCGTTTTTACTCACCCCTTTGAAGTTAAGCGCGCGAGTGTAAACCCGAATAGGAGTTTTTCGCAAGATTTTTTTTTCTTCATTTTCATCTCTCTGTGTGTAGCATTGCAGCTTCAATGGGCGAATGGAAGCAAAAATAAGACTGATAAGAAGAGAAGATAATTTCTTTAGTTTTTTTTTTTTTTTCAGTTTATATCTTCAACATTGGCGTTCTTTTATCTGAAAAATAGAAGCAATTGGTGAAGGCACTTTGGGGATTTATGAATGTGCACCTTTCTTTGATTTGCTTCTCGACAGGCTTTTGTTATTGCGCCGCTCTCTCTTTTTTCTTTTGTTTTATCTTTTGAGACATACTACTTCAATGTGTCTTTTTCAAAAAGATTGCTCTAAAGTCGAAATATAATATACTGAACACAAACATACATTTATATATATTTATATATATGCATATATACGTTACAAATGAGAAGAAAAGGAAAAGAAAAATGATTGAACGTGAAAATAGAATGTTAAATAATGAGGTCTATAATCCGTAGGAGATTTGCTGGGAAACCGTTTGGTATTCTTTGGGTTTCTTGAAAGTATCGGGGAACCAGATAACTTTTATGAGTATTTTTCCGTGAGTATTTCGCTATATTCCTTTCCTTTTTTTTCTCTCTCTTTATGATGATGCTGGTTTTTTTTCCCCCCTCTTCTATTTTCATTCTTTTTTTCTGTTTTTTTTTTTTTTTTTTATCCAAGCGTTCTTTCCTTTTTTTCTCTTGTTAAATTCAAGCATATCAAAAGGAAGAGAAGAGGAGGAGGGAAGGAGACATTGATAAAAGAAAAAAAAAAAAAGAAAACAATAGTTACAACACAATTGTACAGTCTTATTAGATGTAGAAATGAGATCCACATTATCATTTTCTCAGTTGGTTAATAATAATAATAATCATCCCAACCCCACAGGATATAACGGAAAGAATAGGGTTTATATTGATAATGGGAGTGTTGCGCCTGCCTCGTGCGGTGAAACTGGAGATGCGGTGGTGTTAGCCCCTACGAAACGCACGTGGTTTGATAGTTCACCCCCTACAAAGAGAAATCAGTTTGTTTTTCCAAGTAATCGCTCAGACAGCGGTAGTGTTCCCCCACCAAATGGTTCTGCTTCTCCTGTGGATTGTGCCGTAAGACCATCTGAAATGGAAGGTATTGGAAGTATTGATGCAATGCGAAAAGAACTTATTCGACTGTATGATTCCAATATGGAACTACGAGCACAGATGAAGCGTTTACAGACATGCGTGGAGAAGACAAATGTAGTGCAGATAACTGAGTTGGAAAAGCCATGGCGCACACGGTGTACGGAGTTGGAAACGGCCCTCAGAGAAGAGCAACGTCAAAACCATGAGAAGGATGAATTAATTGCAGCTTTACAAAAGGAATTAACTATAGCTAAACGGATGATGACAACAATGCTAACAAGTAAAACCCCTCATAAAGAAAGCACAAAAAATACCAACAATGCACGTACAGAACCAAGAACTTTTAGAGAAGTTCAACGTTTCGTTACCCCATCATATCATAAAGATACACCGCTCGTGCAGCAGGCGGAAAAAGCCATGTCCAAGGTAAGACTTGGTCATTCTAATAGAGTTAACATCCAAGTATTACCGGAGAAGCAGATCACGAACCAGTTACCCTCACGTAGTCAGAGTACATCTAAATGTATACATTCCTCACAATCTCAGATAATTGAATGTCACCAAAACATAAATGATGAAAATGTGAATAAGGAAACAGTTTTCTCTGTAGATAATCCTTCTAATTCTAGATCACATTCGTCCAATATTACGAAACCGAAGCCATTGCAACAAGAAGAGCAGAAGGTAGCGGCGGCCGTAGCAGTGACACCATCATCATCATCACTTCTTATACCTCAGACTGGAATAACAAAAGTGGTTGCAATAGCAACGACAACTCGGACTCCACACTCTTCTTCTAGTCGTTCTTTTGTACCTCAAACGTTGGCCGATCTTTCTGCATCTGATGCAATTACACCATCCAAAAAGATTGCTAAGCCATGGTATGATGAAGATGAGGTTAAGGAAGTTGTAATGTCTTCTCGTGCATCGAGGTTGAGATTAGTAACTTCTCCGAGACGATTATTACGTCAGGGTCAGATAGATTCTTTATTACATGTGGGTCAATTGTGTACTCACCCGCATATTCAAAATATTCCCAATACAAGTAGATGAGTCCACTCTGGTCTACTCTACCAATTGAGTGTACGTTATTTATATATATATATATATATATATATATATATATATCGTTATTAGACTATATTTTTATTCAAAGATTTCTATTGCTTTGGGAGTTAAAATTCATTAACAACAAGAAAAAAGAAAAAAAAAACTGATTTCTTGAAATGAATTGTAGATCATTTTTCAGTTTATCTTTCTTTTTTTTTTTTTCTTAATTTCTGTTTTTTTATTATTATTTCTGTTTTCCTTGCGATTGTTGTTCACGTAACCTATTTATTTCTCTTGTTTTTTTTTTTCTTTTCTTTATGGGGGTATATGGTGAAAGGACGAGGAGGTTGGAGGTGGTGAACGCTGTGGAGGAATATATATTTTCTTTTCACGGTCAACAACGACAAGAAAAGAAAGAAAACAACTCCGGAAAGCCGTTTTTAAATAGAAGAAAATAAAAAAAAAAAAAACTGAGAAAAAATAGATGAATCCCTCCTTTCTTGATCAGTTGCTCGGATTTCCAGAGCGTGAAACTCTGTTGATGGATTGTCCAGCCCTTGCAGTGTTTTGTTTTCAAGAGTTTGTTGCTTCTATGCAGAACGGGAGACGTGTAACAGATCCTATTCTTTTGGATGATGAGGTGAGAGTTCTATTCTCCATTACATCACCGGCAGAACTTACAGAAAAGATATTTACGGCTCCCCAAGAGGGTAAATCAACCCATCCATTTTGGTCTGCACTGCGAAAGTCACTGGAATGTGCATGGGATCCTTTTCCAGAAAGTAGTGGAAATTGGTGTCTTTCAGAAGTGGGAGGAAATGCCCGAATTTATGGACCGTCAATGAAGCGAATGCCACTTGCAAATGTTTCTTTACAGAACGCTTTGAATACAAGTCGTAGTATTCTCCGCATGGTAACAGCATGCGCCCTTGCAGGGTCTATAGATCCTCTTGGAGAGAAGCGTGGTCAACCAATAGCTTCTATGCTACAATATTCTCGTTTGATCCCTCCCTCGCCAGAAGTCACTGGAGTAACTTCAGAGGGTTTAGGTTTTTGCATGCAGTCTTTGCAGCAACAGTGGTGGACACTTGTATCGGTAGCACTGGATCGTGTACTAGCCTTAACGAATAAAAAGGGTGTAACACGTTCTGAACTTTGGAAGTTGCTGGCCATTTTGTTTATGCTTGATACGAGTAAGTTTGTTTATTTGTTTCCTTCAAAGGAAAAAGATTTAGTAGCTTTTCACCTTTTAGCGCGCCTTTCAGAGGTTGGACTTGTTTATCCATTAATGTGTAACGGACTTCGTTGTTTTGTACTCTCTCCCCATTTTCATCATGCGCTTAGCTGGAGTACCACAGCTCCCCTTTGTACTGTAGCGTTGCTTAATGATGAGGGTGGTCCATCAAACCGTGTGCGTCGTGAAGATGAGGACACTATAATTACAGAGACTAATTTTCGTCTTTACGCCTATACACGAAATCGAGATCTTTTAAATATTCTTGATCAATTTGCAGTAAAAGAAGCTGAAGTAGATAATATGATTGCATGTTACCGTGTTACACGTGCGTCTTTTGCTGCCGCTTTGCGCAGAGGTATTAGAGCTTTAGATATCCTACGATTTCTAGCTGTTAAAGCACACCCCTCAATGTTGAAACACTATCATAACAGTAACGAAGGTTCTTCAGAAGAATTATATACAAATGTTAGTAATGTCGGAAATAGGTTTTTAAATGCCTCTGATACCTATATTGGTGGAGTCATCCCACAAGCTTTTTGTGATCAACTACTTACTTGGGAGAGGGAATGTCGACGACTTGTATTTCGTCATGATCTTGTTCTCCTTCGAAATCTCAGTGCTACACAGAGAGAGGTAATAGTAGATCATCTTTGCCGGAGTGGAGAAGGCTACGCGGTGGTACATCAAGAGAATGGTTACATGGTTGTTCAACGTGACACCTATAATCGTGTGTTAGCGCCTCTTATTCCTACGGATTGAATAAATGATGGAATTAATCATCCGGAGCGAGAAGTTGTGAGTATACCTTTTTGAACTTGCATTTTTACACATACACACAGATGGCATCATGCAGGAAAAAAGACAAGAAGAAAGAAAAGGAGAGAGTTTTCTGACTACCATGAGTGGAGCTGGTTTATGAGGGTGTTTTTGTGTTTCTTCCATTCTTTTTCCCCTTCATACTCACTTAAACTACCATGGATATTTCCTTTACGTGCTCAGATGTTTTTTTTTTTTTTTTAATTGTCAATGTACGTTATTCTCCTCTTTTTTTATTTATTATTGTTATACTTCTGCAATTATATTATTGTTTTTCTCTTCTTTTTTTTCTTCTTCTATTTTTAATAAATTCATTGGGTAAGTAGCCAGTAAAAAGGGGCTGGAGGGAGGTAAGAGTCTCTGAATTGGGTACTCTTTATCCTAACTTCTTTTTTTTTTTTTTTCTTTTCGACAGTTTTGTTTTTGTTCTGTGTCGTTGTTTCTTTGGTGTTTGCTTTGTGATTTATTGTTTCTCCTCTGTGTGATATCGATAAGGTTACGGAGGGTGTGGTATACATCTAATGCGGCGAGGTGCTCCTGAGTGGTTTACGCGCGGCCCGGCGCGAGATCGTTTTCACCGCCTTTGGCCGTGGGCGCTGAGCAGCACGTGTGCGGTGATGTACTTTCTCAACCGCGAGCCGTTTGACGAGATGGCGGGCACGGTGGTAACGAAGATCCGCCGGCCGCTGCTCCGCACGATGGAGTGGATTGAACTCCACGACGTGGACCCCGAGACGATGGCGCTTGAACTGCCGCCGGACGTTATCTTCGGCCCCCTTGAGTTCCCGCAGCAAATGCGATTTCTCCTCGCCGCGCTGCGGGCCGACAATGAACTCGCCGACGGCTATCTTGCCCGCGTGTTGGTAGACCACATGGATCTCTCCCTCGATCCACCTATCCTGTCGGAGGCCGATCTCCTTGCCGCGGGCGGGCGGGATCTTCTTAACTTCGCCATCGATGACTTTTTAGGAGAAGGGTCAAGGAAGGCACGAAAACATATATTTTTTAGACCGGACGAATTTCTTCGCCTCATCAATTTTATCGCCGTGTACCCAACTCTCACAGATTACTTTGTTAACCAGCGTAATGGAGTGGATCTGGTTTTTCGAGCTTTAAAACATAGTCGTGATGAGTATGCACGTGTTTTAGCTTTGAGATCAGTTTGTCTGTTTTGTTTTACACAACGCAATGATGGTGATGTGGAGCGCCGCATTTTACAGGCTAATGCCATGAAACAAATTGTAGAAGCGTACAAACAAAGCACTGGTGACCCAGCTGACACACGCTTTATTACTTTGGTGATATCTTCTATTTTACGTCACTACCCTAAAGAAGGTGGGAAAGAATTTGTAGATGCTGATGGTGTAAATGCTGCCGTACAAAATTTAAATATTGCTCGTTATAAAGGACTTCCACAACATATTCGAGTTCTTCATGACGCACAGAAACTTCCAAAAGCTGCAGTCGGTACAAAAACAACAAATAGTCGTATTGAAGATGCAGATTTTATTCCAGTAGCAATGGGTGTATTAGATGCTTTCCCTGAGTTTTATGAAACTGCCGGTGATATTTTACGTCTCTTAGAAGATATTGTTCCTTCAGAAACGACTCCATTTAGCTTGCTAGAGTATCGCGCAATGCCAATTCTTTCAAAATTCTATGTTCGTTGGAAAGATGATAACGTTTTCCAGACAGATGGAACCCGCACACAAGTGGTGCGTTTATTTAGGATGATGCTAGATGACAAAACTTGTCAGCGGTGTTTTGATCCAAGTGTTGCATCCTATGAGTTGCAGGAATGTATTCGGACGGCGAAAGAGGCAATTCGGGTAGAGGAGAATTCTGGACAACTCCAACAACAAATGGCGGCTTGAAGAAAAGGTCTGCACAGATGCAGGGAGGAGGATTAAAAAAAAAAAAAAAAAAAAAAAAAAAAAAAAAACGAAAAAAAA